GGAGCTCTTTGGGAAAGACACCAAGAAAGTTACATACTTCGGGGATGCTCTCGATGTCCTTAACTTCTTGTTTCTCTTTGATTACATGAGCTAGAAATGCATGAAACTCCTTTCGTAAAAGCTTTTGAGCCTTGATGCAAGATGTGATACGAAGATTGGAACTAAGTTTATCATTGTGGATCATGAGAGTCTGGTCAGAGAGAGGATTGAGATGGGTGGCTTTTTCATAACAATGGATATCTGCATGATTGGGACTCAACCAATCCATGCCAATGATAACATCAAAGCTCTTAATGGAAACTGGTATTAAGTCAATGGAAAAGAATGATCGTTCAGGGTAAGGGTACAACTTATGAATATGTCGTTAGCGTTTCCCTTTCTCACTACTAGCCATTTCGACGGTAAATGTTTCGGTTACTAGTTGAGGACTATGTTTAAGAAGATATTTGAATGAATGACTAATAAGAACTTCTTTAACACTAGATTCGAAAAGGATACGAGCATAAGAATTGTCGAGAATAAACGTACCCGTGACGACGGAGGGATCGATGACTGCCTCCTCCTACTTTATAGCTAGAACTATCCCGGTGTTGCTAGCTGTTGTTGCCTTGGGGAAGTTCCTATTGAAATGCTCGACTTCTCCACAGTCGTAGCAGACGTGATCGGCACTCGATCCGGAAGCTTGATTGGTTGGTTGAGCCAGTTCTCTGCAGTTTCACACAAGATGGCCCTTCTTGCCACAGCTTATGCAGATCTTCTCACGGCATGGGCCAGTGATACGATGGTGGTAATTGCACCTGTTGTACCAAGGGAGGTTACCAGCATACCTAGTGGTAGGTGCTTGAGCTGTAGACGCAACGATAGGAGTAGTAGCAGCTTGGACTGCCACTATTTTGTGCTTCTTGGAGGATCCTTGTGAACTCTGACCCTTTCGCTTTTTCAAGATAGTCTTCTTACTCGCAACACACTCATTCCGGTTCCCCTTATCATTTTCATGGTTTTGAGGATGGATATTACTTTCTAGTCCACTGGACCTGCTAGGGTTCAATAGCGCCATTGCAGCCGTCACTGCAGCAGTAACAACTGCCTGAAATAGGAAAGGATCGAATAGGGAAGGAGGTGGTTGCGGAGGGTTGTTGTTCCTAGAATTGGGTCCTTTATTTGGAGGCACGAAGATCTATAATAATTAGGAAAAAGAGGATGGTAAGTCCTGTGAATTGTATAATGAGATATGAAACAAGAGATATCTCATTATGACAAATAAAATGTTCCACTAAGCGATAATACAGGAAAGAGTTATCAAAGACTATCGATAAGGAAGGAATGAGTAGCAACACTCGGAATGAATTTCTACAATGTACTCGGTTCTGGCTAAAAATACTCCCATAGTATTTTATGTTTTGTTGCGACGATGATTCATTGCTTTGATATTAGGTAAGTTTTAGGCATGCTACATAACACAGTCACTCCCAAGCACATGTCGACAGTGTCTCGATTGAATATAGTTGATCAGGCTATATTGACCCTAGACACGACTACATAACTGCCCAGGTTTAACTGCAACATACAACACCCAATTACTTATGTTTTGTTCTACTCGTAGTTACGGATTCCGGCGGTTAGGTATACTTGTATATTTTGGAAAAATACTTTTATTTTAAAGTATACTTTTAGTTCAGAGCACTTCGGCCCCTTAGTGTTTATAGTCTTATACCATGTAAGGTTTGGTATACTAGTTCACTATAAACAAGGGCTTTGATACCAACCTATCACACCCCGAAACCGATGGCAGAAATGTTCCGGGGTGGAGGACATCATGTAAAGTATCACAACCAATGTACATAGTAATCATAGTAAACACAAAACATTACATTACATAGAATCATTACATGTGTTTGAAAGTAGAAAAGCAAGGTAATACATGTTTTATAGATACATAAGTTTAAACAAAAGTAAAGACATGAATTCCATCTGCTCCGTCTTCTGCAAAAGGATGCGTGATACTTGTCTAAGGAGAACCTGAGAATACAAGCAGTTTAAAAATCAGCATAAAGCTGGTGAGTTCATAAGCGGTTTGTTTCTGAAAATGAACAAGTTTCCTTTAGTTTTTTGAGATGTTGTTATCCAAGAAAATCACATATTTTCTTAGATGTAAAGTTTGTTTATCCATTTGTTACACAGTTTGGTTGAAAATAGTTTGTTATCTGGTTACTACATGATCTAGTTAAAAACGAGTTCTGTTATCCCAGGAAAAACCCTTATTTTCCTTAAAATTTTGTGGATGGTTACCGGTTCTGAATGTAATGTACAAGTATCTACCATACTTAAAGTGTTTGTGTGAAGTTTCCTGAAATCCTGGTTATCCTTGAAATGTATGTTAGTTTTAACACATATATAAAACTATTATGTGGGAAGTAAACTAATTCTTAAAGTTATTAGCCTACAAATTTCATTATTACAAATATATAAATTTAATTTATCTAAATTGCAAGTTCCATAACCATACAATAGACTAGATAAGGCTCGAAACAGGGACCAGTATCATTTTATGACTTTTGTCACCCTTGAACCTTTCGGTTCAACTGTAGCTAGCAGCCAGGTACGAGGTTGTCAATCCCGTATAGATCTATACACTCAAGTCACGCTCTCCCTCCAAGAGATTCTGGTTACGGGGGCGGTCCTCCACTCGCGTATCTCTGTGGAGTGTTTCCGAGGATGTGTCTCCAATTATTAAGATTAAAAAATTTAGAAGTAATAATGCGGAAAATCCAATTTGTGGTTCTGGTTACAACGGGGGTCCTCCACTCGCGTATCTCTGTGGAGTGTTACCGAGGACGTGTTCTAAAGTTCTAAGTTAATTATTTTAACATAAATGAAGTAGAAAATCATTGGTAAAATATACAATATAACACTATATAATAAAGTTTGCAATTAGTTTGAAAACTAACTCTGCAAGTCAAACAATTGGTTAATATGATATCTAGTGTTAAAAGTATATGAAATATGAAACATTTCAAATGAAATAATAAGTTTAAGTACAAGCTATTCTTGTACTTTTGCTTGTATTCCCCCCTGAAAACATTGAAAAACACGGAAAAAGGTGTAGGGGTATGAACTCACCGGTCGGGAAAAGTGTCGGCTAGGATGCTAAATGATAGTTCAGGGTTTGAACGTGTGCAAGGTTCCTATGTAATCTGAAAAGATACATAATTGTATCTAATTAGGCTTTGAACTACTAATTAATTGAGAATATACACTCCGAGACGCGAATACACTTCATTCCAAGTGTTAGGAGTGACCCGGGTAGCATCTAAGGGTGTGTATGGCTTGAATATGTAGTTTTCTCTTCAAGAGTAAAATCCTAATGGATTTTTTGGCCCAATGACCAACTCCCCATGAGTTTACGGCTGTAAACTCTTGGTGGGGGTGTTCTTGGTTGCTAAATGGTCTTACAACTCTTGTGGGGTAATGCTAGGCTTGGTTTTAAGGCATTAGAATGGAATTTGAACAACATAAGGATCATTTGAGGAGTTTACTGCCGTAAACTCTTATGTACCCAATATTAATGTGTTTTGGTGGTCCTAGGTCAATTACAAGTGTTTCTAGTCCAAAGTTCAAGCCATGAAAGGAAGTTAGGGCACCAATTGACCATCTTATAGGATTTTAAGGCCCAGGAACCATTCCTTGGGGGGTTTATGGCCATGAACTCCTAAGGGAATGGTTTCTTGCATGTTTAAGGTCCCTAACACATTGTTGGATGGTTCTAGACTTTATCCCAAGGCTTAGGAGGTGTTTAAGTGGCATCTTAACACCTTAAAAGGTGTTTACGGCCTAAGAAAGGGTGTTTACGGTCCAAGCATGTTCTTGGGCTGTAAACTCATGTGTTACCCCTCAAATGTTAAGGTTTTGGTGTTCTAAGTCTAGTGTTGTAAGCCCTAAGTCATATCTAAGCTCCAAAATTGATTTGGAAGGGTTTTGAGGCTCAAAAACCCCATTTATGTGTGTTTGCGGCCTAAGGGTGTTCCAGGGCCGTAAACACATGTTTTTGGTGCTATTTCATGATCTAAACATGGATTTGAAAGCTGAATGTGTTATACTATGAGTTAGGAAGGATTACATACCAATTTGGGGCTTGAAATGGGTGATTTTGGATCTAGACTTGATTTTTTAGAGAGAGAGAGTGGAAAAGCTTCAAATGAAGCCCACTCAACATTAAATAAGGTTGGGTTTTGAGGCTTGGTGGAATTCTACCTGATACTGACGTTAAACGGGGCTTTTGGTCGCACCCAATTAAGTTGTCGTAACCCGACGCGGTCGAAACTAAAAGTTTTCCAATTAATAATTTTGGGTGTCTTCATGTGTTTCTAATGGGTTTGGACACTCACGAGGTCATTATAAAAGTCTTAAATTAAATGACCTAATCCAAAATGTTAGCAGAAAATTGAAAGATAGACGGGTTTTGCTGACGGGAACGGGTTATCGTGACAGAAAATTTTTTGGGTTGTCACAACCTCTTTGGTAGTTCTACAGGCATGAAATCTTTGTATTCATCCAAGATGTCTTGGATCACCATTGACAAGTCTCTTGAAGGACAACCTTCACATTCATCTAGCTTTTCTCGAATTGCTGCAACATAACACACACATTCTTTTTCTCATTTCTTAAACTGTAAAGCTTACAACAATGGGGTGATCTCTTTGGCTCCTTTCAACTGTGTTACTTGGATGAGGTCCTCATCAAGAAAAATGAGTGAGCTTACAGAATGGATTGGGAATATATGAGCTTTCCGGAAGAAGGACAGTCCCAAAACAACCCTTAAATCATCGATGAGGAAATGGTAAAAGTTAGATCAACTATCCAGTTATCAATACACTCCTTAACTGTAGCTATGCCTAAAATCTTCTTACCCCCGAGTTGACAACATTGATTGTGCCTCTTCCTGGAAGACAAGGAATGCCAAGTCATTATGCCTCTTTTGTATTCGGGAAGTTATGGGATACTCATGTGTCTACAAGAGCTACTGACTCCTTCCCGTTGATCGACACATCCACGAATTGAAGGCCTTCCACTTCATATGTTTTTTTTTTTTTCGATAGGAGCTTTGTTAAGGCCGCCAGGTGCCTTATCCAGCCCAAATCTTCTTGCATTTCCATCTCACCCTGGCCCTTGTTTACCATATCCGTCTCACTTGGGCCCTTGTTCACCAAAAAAAGAGGGTTCATTTGAAAATAATAACCATGAAAAAAATGATTTCGAAATATGACCACAGGATCCGCAGAGCATCCTCTGCGGATTGAGTAATCCCTCTGAGGAAATGGAACACCTCTACGGATCTTGAGTTTTTAAATTATTTTTTGTTTTGTCGTTGTTGTTTATTTTTTTTTATTTATTAATATTAATTGTTTTTAATACACTAATAACATGTGTGATTATTATGTAAAAAAATTGACAAAAAAAGGTTAAAAGTATTGAACTTATGTTTAATATTAGTCCACAAAACTGTTTGGGAATCCACAGAATATGATCAACGGATCAGTGTATAAATTCTCATACCGGTTAAATATTGTATCAAGTCACCACGGTATTGAAAAATATTGAAATGGCCTCTAATGCACCAACTTCTACGAATGCAACATCGTCGTCCGATACTCCACGTCCATGGACGACAAGAGAGGTGATGGTTATAATACAATGTTGGTTGAACATTTTTGAAGGTATAACAACAATGGGTACCCCTAATTACCTTGGAGGTGATGAATGACACTTCATTACATCTTCCCCTTGAATGGTTTCCATCACATTGGCTTTATCTAAGACCTCTATTAGTTTGTGTTGGATTAAACTGGTTGTTAACCATTGCTTGTTCTTCAACTTCTTCACCTACCACTGTTAAATATAAATGCACCCTCTTCTTTAATTCAGATATTACATGTCTCAATTGAAATACATCAGTTTCATCTCCAAGCTCCATAACATACCCTAACTCCGGGTTTTTAAAAGACAAACATATATGCCTATTTAACACACCTACCTTACTATAACCATTTGTAATAACATTTCATGGTCAATTTTAGGAGAAGATTTAAAGCATAGGTTTTTACATTATTTCTACTGTAAAACTCATCTCCATTAACTAACTGCCTCGACACTCCCATATACAAAATAATGAAACTAATTTTACAAATCACTCTCCACAAACACAATGAAAAAACAACTTATACTGGTAATTGAAACTCACAAACTCACAAGAAAACCACTTAAATACATCTATAACTTCTATAACTGATCTGCAGAGGTGTAAACTGATCCTTAGAGGTGTACACACATCCATAGGGGTGTACACTAATCCGTAAAAAATAGTTATGCGTATTCACTGACTGTTATGCAGAGGTGTACACTAATCCGCAGATAACAGTTCTATAACTGATCTTTAGAGGTGTACACTGATCCGTAGATGTGTACACTGATCCTTAGAGGTGTACAATATTGTTGCGGTGTATATTGATCCTTACGTGGCTAAGTGATGTGTCAAAAACCCTTACTTGGACTTCCAACATGGCAGCTGACATGTTATCTTCCTAATTATGCTATCAATTAAAACCCCGATTTGGACCTCATTCATTTCTTTCATACCCCTTTATGAAAAGTCGAAGAAAGCACTCTCCTTTATATAATCAACTTGTTCGATTCTTCAACACAATGTCTGCGAGCTCGTCCAATGCAAGAAATCACCTCCAATTTGGTCGTGTGTTTGTTAAAGACGATGTTAACAACGGTAACTGTGATGTTCCAGCTAAGGAACGAACATGTTGGAAGCTCACTAAGCCCGATAGATGGTTTTGGAACTACGAAAATAACTTGGTAAGCTTCGATCTGGTTTGATTTGTTAATGCAAGATTTTTTAGGGCTTCATTATCAAAAACCCATTACATTATGAAAAAAAACCCTAAAAGTAATTTTGATTATCTTGGGTTGTTTTCGTGATTTCGTTTCTAAAAATACATGTACTATCATGATTGTTCAAATGGTGTTGTAGTGTTAATCATTTTTAATTCGTGGTTTCTTAAATTGCATTTAGTTATTAGTGATTATGTTTTCATGTTTTATTCATGTGGGTTTGATACATACAAGACTGAGGAAATGTGATTACTTTGAATGGAAAGAGATTGCACTAGAAGATGGTTTCAACAAAAACCTCATCTATTCCACGAAGCAATAGTTGGATTCCAACGAGGATCTTGGTGTCATAAGAAAACCTGAGCACTAAGATTTTTGAGTTAGAGTTTCTATTGAGTAAGGAGAAGAGTCTAGTGGCAAGCATGGAGGGGGTATGTGTGATTCCAAGAAGAGCATTTGTATGTACAAGCTGTTGGTAGTTGTTCTAGTTGTTGGGTATGTTTGTTTTGTTTTTAAGTTAGCTAATTAGTGTTGGGATGTGATGCTTTTGGTGTAGCTTTTAGTGTAAGGTCTATGTATTGGGATGTGAAGGTTTTTTTGTATCTTTTTTAAAGTCAGCCTAAAGTGGTAATGTGCTGCATTTTTTATCTTTTGTAAAATCCTAATGACATTTGGTAATTAACCTTATTGTAAAGTCCCAACAACATATAAATGGAATGGAAAGTTTATGTCGATAATGGAATATAATTGTTTATGCTAATGGAAGATTGCAAACAGGCTGAAAAAAGGATGCAGATTAACAAAAATAAAATAAAAGAGCATGAAAAATGGATAAAAAAGACTAAGAAGTGTATTAAAATTGAAAAAAGATCGTTTTGAAGATAAAGTAAGAATTAGGGACGACTAGTCTACTATTCCAAATAACATAATCAAAACATGAGAAAATACTTAAAACAATAATCATAATACAATCAAAGTCTACTATTCCAAATAATTTATGCCATCCTATTATTGTAACTAAATGTCGTATCTCTAGGTGACTGATGTGTCTCCACTGATACACAAGAATTTTCATGAACATGCACACATAAATTCCACAATCTCCTCTTTCTCCTTCTTCTACTTTTTTCCTGCTGCGACACATGTTTAGCTTTAATGAAGTTCACCTCAGTAGGTTTCTGTCTATTGGGAAAATGGGCCCAATATGATATGTGGTCTAGTTCACTTAATATACTATCTCCTAACGATTTAAAACTACCATCACCCACATATCTTTTAAAGAAACCACACCATTCAGATGAACCATATATGCTCACTTTCCATGTAAGGAGATCCAAATCAACCAAATACCAATGCAGGGGCCGTATGTTGATGGGAATTAAAACCTTTAAAAATGATAAGTTATATATATATATATATATATATATATATATATATATATATATATATATATATTTAATATTATATGATGTATATAAATAAATATACTAACCTGATCAATATCCTTCCAATGTGGTCCATCAACCATCCCGACTGCTACACGCCTCAAATAATGTTGTTTCCCAGGTTCCAAAGCCGTGCCTTCACGATTAATAATCATCCACCTACCAGTGGACAAATTTACTTCCTTGAGCGTGGACGTCCAGATAACCAAATGTTGTGTGTTAGAAAAAAATTCATTTTGTAAAATTAATTATCCAACACTTTTTGTAATATAAAATAAGGGATGTGTGTTACCTCAGAGAGCAACCATCCATAGCCAATACCAAGTAAACTTGACCAAAATACCAATTCATCTCAACACCTCTTAAAAATCTATGCTCCAAAAATACCGTTCCCATGTTCTTTCCCCACAATTTCCAAAATTCATCATCACTATTTGCATAAACGTTGAATGGTAATGGTCTTTTTTCTACATTATTGGACTTCTGTGGTTTTTTCCCTTTTCTATTCTTCAATGGTTCCATCGACAGAACCTACAAAATCAATATGTTAATTAATTTGGAACGATTATATATTATATAAATAGAAATTACTTAATTTTATACCTGTGTGTAAGGCTCCCTACAAAATTTCGATTTCATTTTTACCCGCGCTTTTAACGATGTAACTGTGTTATCATTAAATAAAACAACAAACTGTGGCATCTACACATACGTATGGCCTGACTCAGGATCCAAACAACGAAAAAATGCTTCCCCCGCATCTACATTTTCCATATCGTTCACACCAAAATGTTTATCTTTTTCCCAATTATCCATTCTCTTCCCAAAGTGCTCAATTGTGGTTTTTAATTGAGTAACAACGCCCAATAACTTGTCTATTTTACTCTCTTCTGTCCGGTATGTTTCTTGAAAATGAGAGGCTGAGATGTAATCTGCTCCCCAAAAATGAGAGCCTGATGTGTAGTCTGCTTCCTAAAACTGAGACCGGTGAGGTGATGGAGACGCTGCTTAGGAGGACTCTGTTGTTACGGTGACGGAGAATGCTCGTTAGGAGAATTTTCTTGTTACGGTGGCGATTGCACTTTGTCTAGAGTCCAGTTTACATAACACACAAAGAATGGAAAATGGATCTCAACTGGCAATGGTTCAAAAACACGTGGGATGTAATTTTCCTGCAAAATTAAAAAGTTAAATTTAAGTATTTAAAATTGTTGTAAATTTTAACTATATATAATTAATATAAGGAATGTATAACTATACCACTGAAACATCTAATATACATAAATATCGCTCGAGAGATAATTGTGTTTTTATTCTCCATGCCCTCATTCTTGAAATTTCATTTTCTATGTGATGCGCAAACCTCTAAGCTTATGGAAATGTCTCAAAAATCCATACCTAGTATTAACACAAAAAATTATGATTTGTCCAAACTTGTAAGCTCTTAAAAAATATAAGTAATTTCACCTAACACTAACCTTAAACGAAAGCTGGAAACTGGTCACCGTATACTTCATCATCTTATATATATATATATATATATATATATATATATATATATATATATATATATATATATATATATATATATAATTTATTTGAGAACTAAAAAATTCGTGAAGTGTGCGATATGGGCAATAAGAACCGGCATTATGGGTGACATTGCACCTAATAACGGGAGGATATGTTAGTGAGTATGATGTAATGGTATTATATATACAAACTACTACTGCCAGATCCAGCTCCACTACTCACGTGACGTGTGACGTTAAATAGAGATTGTGAGGAAGTGTATAGACGAGTAGTTAACGACTACTTTGCAGAAAATTATGTCTACCAGCCAACCGATTTCAAAAGAAGTTTTTGTTTTCAAAAAAATATGTTCGAAATGATAGCCAACACCATGGTAGAAAGGTATCGGTTGTTTCAACTTTTAGAATTTATAAAATGTCACTTTTAGATAAAATAAATACAAATTTTACATGTTTAATATATATTTAGTTACCGTTTGTTTCAACTTTTCTAATTTATAAATGTCACTTTTAGATACAATAAATACAATTTTTACATGTTTAATATATATTTAGGTATGAATTTTTCCAATTGAGATATGATGCTAGAGGCAAACGAGGCTTCACAGGGTTGTAAAAATGTGTTGTTGCAATTAAACTTATGGCAATGGGGGAGTCGCCTGATTCTGTTGACGATTATATTAGAATGTTTGAGAGGACCGCACGAGAAAGTTTGTATTTATTGGCAAGAGGTGTTGTCGAAACCTTTGGTGACCAATACTTGCGCAAACCTATGTTGCATGATATGCAACAACTATATGCAACGCATGAAGAAATACAAGGTTTTCCGGGTATGGTTGGGAGCATTGACTACACACACTGGAAATGAAGAAATTGCCTCGCGGCGTGGAAGGCTAGTATTCGAGCGGTCATCATGGAACGCCTTCTTTGGTATTAGAGGTTGTTGTTTCATAAGATTTACGGATTTGACATGATTTTTTCGGGGTTGTGTGTTCTAACAACGACGTCAACGTTCTCGATCAATCACCAATATTTGACAATCTTTTGTAAGGAAAAGCCCTGGATGCTCGTTTCATAGTGAATGGAAATGAATATAAATTTGGGTATTACCTTACAGATGGAATATATCCACAATATTCCACGTTTGTGAAGGCGTTTCGACACCCAATAGACCCAACAGACAAATATTTCAAGAGACGATAAGAATGAACACTTAAGGATGTTAAATGTGCTTTTAGGGTTTTGAAATCAAAATGGCACATAGTTGAACATCCGGTGAGACCTTATGAGTTAGATACTTTACGATATATCATGTATGCATGCATCATAATGCATAACATCGTTGTCGAAGATAAAGGACACAATATTGCAACGTATTCGCCTACGGAACCAAGACATGTGCAATTTTAACTAGGGACATCAGAACATTTACATAGAGTTGTTGATATTCAAGATGAACGGAAAGTCAAGCAACTCCGTGAAGACTTGACAGATTATATCTATGTTGGTGATGAAGATGAAGATGAATAGTTTTAGGCCAAAAAATGTAGGTTTTATCATTTTTTTGTTTGGTTTTTAGGTTTTTTTTTAATTGTTTTTGTGTTTTGTTGTAACTTTTTAATGTTGTTTTTAATTTAAGATTTATTAAAATTTTATTTTTACTTTTCAAATGTTATTTTTAATTTATAATTTAAGTTATATAATAAATATAAATACTATGATATAAACAAATAAAAAAACAAATTTGAAATATAGAAAAAAATATTAAAAAAATAATAAAATAAAAAAGAAAATAATTGGTGTTATCACATGTTATTAGATGTTGTCAATTTCCACATTCGGTGTTATAACACCCATGTATGAGTAGGATGCTGACATGACACCTTTTGGATGTAGTAACAAGTCGTTTATTAAATATTTAGTTTGTAGGGAAAAGATTTTTTTGTCCATAAAGTACACTTTGTGATATGCATTTATGAAAATATTGTATGTACAAAGTTGGTTTTTTTTTTATTTAGCCAATTAACTCTTTAATAAGAGGCTTAATGGCATATATATATATATATATATATATATATATATATATATATATATATATATATATATGTATATATATATATATATGTATATATATATTTATATATATATATATATATATATATATATATATATATATATATATATATATATATATATATATATATCACTACATAAAGTGTTAGCAATAACAGCGACGCCAAGCAATAGCAGCGACATGTAATTGACTCGTTACACGTCGCCGCTAAATGTGTCGCCGCTATTGATGACACAGTGGTGATTCGCGTGAAACAATCCTTGTCCGTTCGATCTATATTCAATCTGACGGTCGTGGATTACAAAAAAAATGTGCTGCCTTTTCCCTCCCTATGTGTCGCTGCTAAAACCCCTATGTTGCCACTAAAACCCTCCTGTCGCCGCTATTGCCCATCGCCGCTATTGAGTTGCGTTAGATAATCACCCCAGTCGACCCTTCTTTCCTTCTATCATTGTATCTGTCAAAGAACTTCGACTACCTTCACCATCTGAACCCCATTGCAATTCCGACCACCTGGAGCCACTTTACCGTCGATGGGCCTTGTTTACCGGCGACCCACCCTCATTACCGGGGGCATCGGGTTTATTGAGGGAAATTCCGAAATCAACAAAATTTTAGTGAAATTGAGAAATCTAATGTCGAATTTCTTTCCCTATTTCTGTTCTTCTTGTGTTTTGATGTTATTTTTATCATTTAAACCTGATTGTATCATTGATTTCTATGTTTTCTAAGATTTTTTTGGTTAGTGATTTTCAGTGTCGACCAAGCCTCTTGTTTGGCTGTAAATTGATGATTTTTGAGTGATTATGTATGTTTTATCATATTTTATGCAACCTATTGTATAATTGATTTGTGTTTATGCTCATTGTGGTGTATTGGCATGAAAATGGAATTAGACATGGTTTGTGTGATTTTGTATTTAGGTGTATATTTCTGTATTATAAGATGAAGTGATAAAGTTCTTAATTGATAAGTTATAGTTTTTGTAGTAATTTTAATTTGTGCATCGAAATGTATTTAGATGAATTTCTATGATTTTGTATTTAGAACTATATTTTGGTTAGTTATATTTGTAGCATGAAGAAAATGATCCATAAAGGTATTATGCTCAATTTCTTACCATTTTTTGAATTATTGCACTTTTAAAGTTCTATAAATGATATTCTTTTTTATAAAGGTTATATTTGTATAATGAATTCGTGCATGGAAAAATTGAACAAAAAAGTAGGATGCAATAATGGAAAAAAAGTACGATGCTATATTGTGTATGTATTTGTATGCAATTTGGAAACTACAATGCTATAATAGAAAGTGTATTATTTTTGTATATGTAATATGTGTAAATTCTATTCATATTATAGTTTTACAGGCTATATAAGGGGTTTAGTTGGACGATGCTCTTCTACGTGATGATAGATGTTATGGGCTTAGGACATGGAGGTGATGGAGCCAGGGATCCACCACCTCTTTGTAGGCTTTGGTTGTGGTCAACACAAACAGGATGGTAAGTCTTATTATGATATATTTGTTAGCTGTTTTTATCTATTTATTATAAGCTATCATGACTAGTATTTTTAATTATATTTTTCAGCTAAGCTCCCTAAAAAAAGAAGAGGCCTAGCCAAAAACATTCAACTATCAAAAATGATACGCGCAACCAAGGGAAAGCCTGTAGATTTGGATTTCGATAGGAAGCTGACATATTCCCCTGTTGGGAACCATGGTAATTGGTTTACCCGTGAGATTGGAAAGTATATATGGATGGACATCCCTTTGAACATATCTAAAGGTAACTTGTACAATATGTTAAGTTCAGTTCTAATTGGTATTTAACTAACTAACTTGCATCCCGAGCATGCTCAGTTGTTGCAGAGCATTGATGCAACTTTGCAAAGAATTTATAGAGGCCGGAAAAATAAAGCGCATACTAATTTTTCAGAATGTCCGGGGGGGGGGGGGGAGGGGGGGTTACAGATATCCCAAGGGCATTAGCGACGACCACAAGCATTAACGGAAATAGATTGATAAATAGC